CTACCAAGCCGATAATTAGGAGACATTTATTTACTTATCTATTGATTGATTTATTTATTCATCTGTGTAGATATATTCCAGACTTCAGAGCTCGCTAGGCCGGCGGCATATCCCTCGCCGAAAGCAGCAGCTGCACCACATCCGCCCCCTTCATGACCTGTGCCTGGATCTGCTTCGAGCCTCGGCACGACTTCGAGGCACCGTGCCTGACAAGCTTAACTACAGCTGCAGTCGCTCTGAAACTTTCGAGACAGCCCGGCCCAAGCCGCGAGAACAGTCACACGAGGCATGAGAAGAGCGGCTGTGCAAGATGTTGGCGAAGAAAAGGACAACTGCCTCTCGAAAGGAGGTGCTGTGGTCCTACCTGGTCTGTTACGTCTCCAGCTTAGGGATAAGATTTGTTAAGAGTTCCATCCTCCTCGAGAGAATGCTAGATCGGACTTAGCTGCGCCAATTGCCCCCCAGGCCGGAACAACTGTGACGACTTCCGGAGCGGAGGTATCGGCTGCTGGTTTCGTAGCGGGGAACCAACACTTAAAGGATGTGCGTACGAAAACTCGCCAGTAGGCAGGTCTCTGGGGAGGAATGAACGCTCCTACAGGCGCCGATCGGTTATCGGATATGGTCCAACCGGTGTGGCATTTGCCAAAGGTTCGTACAAGCGCCGAAACAAAACCTTCGAAACAAAGTTGGCTCTCATACAAGTTGCAAGCCCCGAGCCCCCGGATAAGGAAAGATTCGACACATCTGCGACATCCATTGCCATTGATGAATGTCGCCTCTCCCGAGGACTTGTCGATCTGCTCGGAGTAGAAAAGGTCGAAGAGTAGCTTGTTGAGCCCCAGATCCACAAAGCCTCAAATGCCCGCTTTCTTACCTTGTTTCCGAGGACGTTGTATCTCTGCGTGCGTATACCAAAATTTGTTTGTTCGCCGGAGAGTGCCAAGAGGTTCCGTTCTGGTGTAGGGGCATCAAAAAGGGGATAAGGTGTTGGCTGTTGAATGGCAGGTCACAAGGTGTTGGACTGCTATGCAGCTACGAGTATGGACGAATCAGGCAAGCCTTTTTCCTGGGGAGAACCACTTCGGTGCCCTCGAGACAGCTGGGCCGAAATCCGCAAATTCCTCAAGCTTGAAGCGCGACCCGAGCCACGCTGGAAGCTCCCCAAGTGGTGCTCCAAGCTCAGCAGGGCGATGCAGTGGATGCAGCACCTGCCGCATCAAGCCACGACGCATCCACAGAATTGGAATCTGGCACATGAAGCCTTGAGGCCCCAGAGTCTCAGCTCCTTTTCAGTGGCCCTGGCACCTTTTGGCCCTCCCAAACCTCAGAAAGACACTCGAACGGACCGAGGCACCTGAGGACGAAGGGGTCGTGCTTCGTCAGGATTGGTTCTGGGTCGCTCTTGTCCTTCCCTGAATTGGCATCAAAGATGACGGCTTGCAAGCGCTGGGCTGCACACGCACCGCGCGTCGCAGAAGAGGCTTTCAGCTGTGAACTTGCGCGAAGCTGATGCGAACTCTTTCGAGATTTACAAGGACGATTACCCGCCTCTCGTGACGTTTATTGAAACTCGCTTCGAAGCATCACGCGCACGCCTAAAGTCCAGGCTTTGGTGCCCTTGCCACTCCGGATGCAGCCCAGCAGCCATCTTTCTTCATTGCTTTGATACGGTTCGGCTGGCCGGTGCCTAGGCTTCTAAAGCTCGGGTTTCACTCTCCCGCCTTGCTCAGCTTAAGGCTTAAGGCTCGAAGCGCACTCCTTTGGGATGTCCAGGTCTTGGGCTTAGAGGCCAGGCTCGACAACCGGCTGCAACTGTGAAGAAAACCCAAACCACTGCAGATACTTGCATGCAGACCCTACCCGTCCATGCACCCAAACCTTTGTGTGGGCATGTGTGTTTCAGGGCGATACCTTCAGAGGGTCCTCCTGATTCACGGGAGTCCTCTTCAGCCCAGGTGCTGACCCTGGGCAGCAATCGCAGCAGGCTATCCAGGTAGTCTTCCTCGCTGATACAGATGCGATGTCAAAGGCCAAGAAGGGCCCACCGGCGCCTCTCGCCCCTTGTAGCTGGAGAACTTCTCCCCAACATGTTTTAGGAAATGGGCCGCCCGAATGCTGCAAGCCCCACCCCGATCCACTCAACCTACTCTACCCTGAGTGCTTTCATGCGAAGCCTTCGGAAGATCGGTCAGCCGTCCTCACACTTCCTTTCCTCAGACAGGCCGAGGAAGATGCGGCGATTCTCCCGAAACTCCTCGTGTCGCACCAAGCATTGACAGTCCGGCCTAGCTGGATGCAAAACTGGATCCTCTTGAGAAGGCAACAGTGCATATTTTCTGTCGTACAAGTGCGGCTAGCGCCTGCTTGTGATGATCGCAAGCTCCCTTTGTGCCCGATGCCTGGCAGCCTAGCAAACTGGTAACATCTTGCTGCTGTGTCTGCCGTAGCTTGGACTCTGTCAGGCGAGAACATGATTCTGGTTGATCACCCTGCATCCCAATCGGAGCTCTGGGTACTGAAGCAGCAAAATCCTTTATAAGTCCGCAACCCGAGAGCTAGGGTCCGTTAACTACAAAGCCAGGGAAACAGGATTGACTTCAGTCGATCAAGTTGGCAGGACGGTGATTTCTACGACAAAGCGCACATTAAGTTTCCAAAGCTGTCCAATTCGTCCATGCGGTACCCCCGATGTCTCAACTTGACTCCTTTCCGAACGTTGGAATGATCAAAGCCGTCACTACGCCAAGCGACCAGAAGGTTCTGCAGCAAGTAGACTCCCAGCTGCTGCAGTTGCAGCTGGTCCTCCGAGTTGAAGTTGCAAAGGTAGAGGGAGGACACAGGGAGCTCAAGGGCCACAGGCTGGCCACAGGGTCACAAGCCTAGAGATGCCTTTTGCTTTTGGCCGAGACATAACGCCTTCCGCTCTTACCGAAACCCTTGCGGCTTTGCCCGAATGCAGCAAAGGGACGGAAAACATGAAAGCCGAAAAGGTGTCCAAGCCGCCTCAGCAGAGAGCGCAAGCTGGCTAAATCTTGAGTCCGGCCTTCTCCCCCCCAGTACCATGGCTTTCCTTACAGAGCATGTGTTTGCGCGCACACCTGCTGTGGCAGTCTACACTCTCTTTCTGACTTTCCCTCTGTTGCTAGACAGCACCACGACGAAGCGTACATCTTGATTCGCACTAAGGCTTTGAGCTAGAAATCTGGACCCTAGGTGATACGTACCATGCGCACTCGTGGCCATGTTCTAACGCCTTACGCAAGTGGTGCTGGTGATGGCGTGAAGGCGACAGTGACGTCCCTAAGGGTTGAAGTGATTGAATTGTAGGGTCCGAGCAGCCATCCATGCCTAGCTGTGGCCGGAACTCATCGGAGCATGCGAAAGGAATCAGGGCCTCCCGCATCGACAAGTGCAAGCATGTGAACATCCATACATCGAGTTCACAAGCCTGACTTTAAGAAAAAACGATGATAATCTTCCTGGTCAAGGTCATGTTTAATCGTCCGTGACAACCTCAACTCCAGCTGCACTTCGCTCTCTCAGCCATACCACACCCTAAAGAGCAATCAGTTGGACCTTCAGCGCATTCACGATAAGGTCGATGTGCGTCTCATTTTCGCAGGCCGTGAGAAGCATCTTCACGCCCTCAACCAACGAGTCTGCAATTTTCAGAATAGGCTTCACAACATCAGCTGTGCGAAGCTGCCCTGAAGCAGAACACAGCTTACATCCCAACAGAGAAGAGCGCGAGATCTGACATGGTGCCAACTGGTTCAGCAAGACTAGAGCAGAGGCATGGGCATTGAGCTGTCAAGGGCTTCTACGTCATTAAGCAAGCCCTTGTAAACGGGCTTCGCCCAGGCCCACAGATTACATATGTTGGTACATTTTCGTGGTCAGGCATTCATATGTATTCGACTGGGATAGTCTAATAAAATTGACCCCCTGGCGCAGAGATGCACTCTCACCCCACCCGAAGATCCCTCCTTGAAACCTCACTGAACAATAATACACCTGTCAGCAAGTACCGAACGCTTCACAGGTTTCTGGTGCACTGCCTTCTCTTGGGCAATGCTGCGCTGGGAATGCCCGGTTTCTGCCAAGTACAGCAGACATAGCAGGCAGCACAGTCTGACGTGCTCCACCTGGCGTGGGCTTTTCTGCTGTTTCTCAACTGTTAGGATAGAAAATCCGCAGGACACTCGTCGTGAAGAGTCACCATCATTGGGGACTGCTGCGGCATACTCGCCTTGGACTTGGTGTACATCTGGATCACCAACCTCACACCTTGGCTTAGCAGCGCCATGCAAAGGGGTGTACAATCCTAAGCTAGCCGGTGGAATCGCTGCGTGCTTCATCTCAACACCAGCTGGCACACAATCGCACAAAGGTGTAGAAAGTTCCGTTCTGGCATCCCTGACCCTGCGCACCTCCCTGCAGGACGAACTCCTGGTGCGAGTCGGAATGGTAGCAGAACCTGAGGCTTCAAAGCCCAGGGAAAGAAACCATGCAGTTGTCTTGAGCAGACGAGGCCCCAAAGGGTTCGGCCTCGGGACGACACTGCTGCTAGAGGAGTGGCTGAGAGTCCCATAAACAGCGGTGGATCTAATTGGTTCGGTTGATGTCTTGACAAGACTGCCCTCCGCTTCTCACAAGCAAAACGCCCTGCCAACGAGTTTCTAGGCCTCTGCTGCCGAGCCAAGAGACGCCGAGCACATCAGCGCGAGATGCGGGGCGAGGCGCGGATCTTCCTCGGGGCTTTTTCCGGGCTCCCAATGCCAGCATTACCCATGCCTTCTGCCTCTGCTTCCATTTTGTTCCATCGCTGTCCCGTATTTGTACAGATATCAGCGAGTAACGTAGTAACACAGTCAAGCAATAACATGCAGATGAGATAGCCGCATGAATTTTGCGTAACATCCGCAGGCACTGCTTGCAACCTGTCAGTGGTGGCAAGTGCGGTATGTCAAGGGCAAGTTTAGCTGATCGGGGACCAGGCATCGATAGGATGCTTCCGGTGCCCATTCTTGACAAGCGGACACGGCCTGCAGCCAAGCTTCCAGATACACCACCCAGGCATCCGTAAGAACCGAGAAGATCATCTCCTGCCAGCATCCGGGAAAATTGGGTCAGGCCTCGGCCGAACCTGGGGAAAGAGGAAGCGCACATGATGCCCCACCAAGGGGTCATCCCCGTTGGTGGCGCAACTCCTAAGTGATCCTGGTGCCTGTTATGATTTGATTCACTGCGGGAAGAAGCATCAAGAAGACGAGACCACACTCTTTGGCAGACACTTGGCGAAGTCGGCCTCCAGCAGAGTTGCTCGCACCACCGCATCTGTGTTGGCCACCTGGCTTTTGAAGGACTTCAGCTCGAGAGTTCACTTGCCAACAGAAGGGCCTGACGGCAGAGGTCACAGAGGTAGATCGCCGAGACGATGGACAAGGATTCCAGTCGCTCCTCGGAAACGACACCCCCAATACTCTGCCTCTGGAGATTTGAGAGCTTTCGGGAACCCAAGCTACCTTGTAACTTGTGAAGTACCCGTGTTCCTGCAGCTCCTCCAAGAAAACAACTCTGCGACAGTCTTCTGCAACATGCACTGGGGCCCCTGCATAGTTGAAGATGTGACGGTGGAAGCCACAGGCTGTGAGCATGCCTGGTTGTAACTACAACAACAAACAGACGACGGGAAGAGACCGTGATTGGAAACTCGGAACATTAGAGAGAAAAGCCCGAAGCAAGAAGATACAGCCAAGGCACTACCACACTTGCCATCGAGCTTCACCTTTGACAAATGCAGAGAAGCTCCGCTCCGAAGCTCAGGGTTCGGCGGGGCGTGGACCCCAGACTCGAAGCCGATGGAAGCGATCGAGACGAGACCCCACTACTGGTAGTCTGGTAGTAACATCTATCCAAGGTACTACCAGTACTGTCATTGTCATCGAAGACTCAATTCCTGGACGAGACGGCTATGCCAATCCTGACACTCAACAAAGACTCTCAAACGCCAACTGCCCCGGACCGCGCAAGTGCAAAGGCAAAGGCACGATGTTGTGAAAAAACTGCATCAGGTAGTCGACCAGAACAGAGTCTTGAGACTTGGAAATGGCCTCAGCTTTCAGTTGCGCCGAAAGTTCATTCAGTTCTGACCAGATCACCAGAAGTCAGAAGTCTTCAATCTTCACAGTTGCAGCCACATGGCGATGCTCAGGGCTTCGAGGTACGGCTTGTGGGCCAGGTTTGCCTTGACCTCGATGCAGTATTCATGGGCTCAGGTTGCCTAGAACTCGGGCCATTGAAGAAAGTATGGCATTGAAGCGGGCTCAGGGGTTTCAAGCACAGCTTGGTCGTTAACTTTGCAACTCAGGGGGTTGCTTGGTCCACGGGTCTCAGAGAGACCCTGTTCTCTGATTAGCCTGCGAGATTTCCAAGCAATCGGTGCCAACCTGCAAGCGCTGAAGTTGCCTCTCTCCTTCGATACGATTCGATATGTTTTCCCGGTTTTGGTATCAAGCCTTCCTGAAACAAAACCCCCCTCAGCACCAAGAGCAAGATGAATCTGCTGCCCATGCTTGTGAGTAAGATGCGGATACCCGGCATGAAAGACTCTGACGCTGCGTGGACCCACCATGAGGGCCCAACGCATCCCAACGCGCAATCTTTTTGCAGCGAGACAAGTTATTCCGCTGGCGAGATTGTCTGGCTTGGCCATCTAGGTAAAGCGTTGGAGACGTTGTGCCCACTGCATAAATCGACCCGAGCGATTCAAGCAAGCCTGGTGATCAGGAAGGCAGCCAACCTCGCCACTGCAACGCATCAGGTAGCACCACGTCAACTGCAGCAGCGGAAGCACCCCTTTCCGAGCATCGAATCCAGTCACTTTCAGGCTTTCAGGTTTCGGGTGGAGGTGCCAGCAACCTAGTCTTCCGCTGACTCAGAAAGAAGGAACCGTGTCTGAACTTGTGCGTGTCAGAATGGTCTGGCAGGTGCAAGCGCGATCCAAGACAGGAGCCTATGTTCTCAGAGATGCTCCAAGCTCTGGGTTGGCAATGATCCGTCGGGGTTCTGTGGGGAATGCCTTGCACGGAATTTAGGCCCCTGTCGGTGCGAGTTCATCGAGGCTAAGTTGCATGGCGATCTGATTGACAGAAACATAGTCATAGTCAAAGCAAGCGAGTAGCATAGCAACGTCATCTCAGATCCACCCACTGGGGTGAAATCATTAAAACTTGGAGCTTCACGGCAGGGGAAAACTCCTAGGTCCTACGTGTGCCAGACTCCGTGCCACAGAGGTTCCCTGGGGTTGGAACCATCGGTCGGAGCTGGGCAAACCACACTCAAATGGCTTCCAGCAGCCTCAGTACCTTCAGCCAGCGTCTAAGTTTGGTTTTGGAGATCGGTGGAATGGTGAGGTCTTGAGGTCGTGGAGCCACGGCTTCCGAAGGATCAAAGACGCGCCTCTGGGAAGCTGGGCCGCTGCCGTGGATCTTGTGCCCAACAAGCCTGCATGACCTCCGGGCCCAGTAGGACTTTGTGGCCCTTCTCACTGTGAAGCCAAGATTCGCTTTCTATGCAACCCCAAGCAGCTTCTTCCCAACCCCCAGCGTAAGAAGACACCTGGCCCCACCTGCAGAAGTTCAAGGGGACAATCCGGGGGCACAGCATCCATGTCGGGTCGGACACCAGCCAGGGTGTACTTCCTTGCAGTTTGAGCAGTAGGCTCGACCAGCTCGACTTGAAAGCTTATGATTCAATGTTCGAAGGTCTGTGTTCGAAATCATGACTGTCAGGCTTCGGGTGCTTTGATTGCTTTTGTAAGCATCAGGGTGTGGCCTGTATGTGTCGCAGACTAGTAGATCCGGATGGCTAAGCAGCTTGGCCTTCAGGCCGCCAGATTCGGCAGCGAGCTTCGAACCGTGATGCAAAGCATTGGGCTTGCTTGGGCTCCAAAGCATCCCAAACTGAGATCACAGCATAGCTGTAGCATTTCCTGCAGACAAGCTTCCCCACATCCGCAGGCTCCTGGCATAACGAGGGCGTGGGGTTTCTCGAGTAAGTCTCGAAACTTCCAAGCAGTGACTGCCGTCACCCTCTCACAGACCCCATGCTGTATCTTTGGATCGCAGGGGATCGGACAGCGGCTCTAGCTACATCGCCTTTGACGGCAAGACATTCCCAAAGTCAAGATGTGGGGCGAAGTATCTGAAGCCCAATCCTCGCTGAAAATAAATCCAGACCCCAGACCGAGCTGTTTAGATCTCCTCCTCTTCGAAGGGCACTTCGCGGCAGATAATTTCATAGACCACCATGGCATATGAAAAGACATCCACCTTCTCCTGGACACTGCATGCAGTCAGGTGAGCGCCAACTCTTCTCTGTGCATCAGCAGACCGTGGGAACCCCTATACAACCGGACGAATTTCTGCAACATACCCTCTCACGACCAGCCCAGGTGCATCGTAAGTGGAAGATGTCCACATCTCGGGGGCCATCCAGTGTTTCGTGCCCGCCTGCGCCGTCATCCTCAGGAGAACGAGGACATGGACTCCGGAATTCCATCCGGGATCTGTGTTCAAGGTTCTCGGTTTTAATTTTCAACATGTCAACGCACAGCCGGGGTTCATTGATGGTTCCTGCTGATTTTGTGCTGTGTCTCGAGCCCCTGGTGGCAGTGCGGACAGACCGACAAGTTCAGAGCAAGGCGAAAGCTCTGACCAGCACCTGGGTGCTTGTTTGACGGCATAGTTCATGGACTGTGCTGACCATTTCTGCATCCTCCCCCGCAAATGGTGTTGCAGATGTTTGCCGAAACCTGCAAAAGTTTCAACCAATATTGTCAAGGATATTCGGCGCTGACTTTCACCTGAGTTGACCGAACCGTTGAGTGCCAGACCTGCTACAGCTAAGCACGTATCCTGATTTAAGCCATAGGCATGATGGTGTACATTCCATATCATGGGTTGTCATCGCTTCGTCCATCAAAGTTACCGCCACTGCTGCTTGCGAGCTGGAAGCGTGTTCACAACTGGTCCTCATGCGGCAGCAGGCGGTTCAATGGTACACATTGATCGGGAGTCTACGTGGCTCAATGCCATGCATGCAGCTATCAGTTGTAGGAATATGCCCGAACACGGATGGAATTAAAGGAGAGAGAATTGCCTTTTGCCCTTGCCTTCTCGAGGCAATTCACAATTAAGCGCAGATCGAATCGCCTCTGGAGTTTTCAGGCCATTTGGAAAAAGCCGCTTCCACGAAAACCCTGCAGGAACACCGACGAGGCGGAGCGATAGCCGGTGCATGTTACACATGGATAACCAGTCATGCGACGTGAGCACGAAAAGAGACGGAGGCTTGCCTGTCCATTTCGACCTCAGCGTTCTCGGCTCCCGCAGACCAGAGTAAAGGAAATGCGGGTAAATGAAGGGGATGCGGAAGCTTATCCTTTGAACAACAAGCCGATTCACTGCCCATCACTACCACCCACGGAGCCAACCTAAATAAAGCATAAGGCCCGCTCGGGGCGCGCAGTCCATACGATTCCGATCCACATGAAGCCTCTGAAGCTGCCAAGAATCTGGCCCCACTGGCCAGCCTGGGCCTGGAGCTTCGCTACGCCGAAGTCGCAGACCTTTACCTGACAGCGAAAGTTCTATCAACGCAAATAAGCCCAAGCCCTATCCAACCATGCCTCCACCCGGCCCCTCGCAGAGAAGTGGAAACTGTGCACTGTTTTGTCAGGATCGTTTCTGACAATGGCAGGTGGTGCGGTAAGTCGCCACAGCCCGTTCGCTGGCCGCTAGCCGGCAAAGCGGACAACTACAAGCCCAGGCCTGCATGTTATCATCTTGTCTGCTGATGCCGGAACCATTGAAAGTCGAGGGCAAGCACATGATGACGAAAAACCGTCACAATCAAGTCTCACCGGTCTATTCTGACCTTGGCATGGCAAAGAAAGCCTAGGTGCTAAGGGGACGTCCGAAGGCCCCAGGACCTTCTTGCCCAGCAGGAGGTTCAGCGATTTGAGATCTCTGTGGATGATCATGGGGTCGAAAGTGTGCAAATAGCACATTGCCTCCAGACCCGGCGCCATGAGCTTCGGTTTCTGCTGATTGTCGCTGGGCTCGAGGCTTTGCAACTACATATCTGCAAAAACAACCCACCGCCCAGCTGTGCTTCGTGAACCATACTCATATACTTGACAACCACACAGCATTGAAAATACAACTCTTCACGGCCTGCGCGACGTCCTTGCACATTTTGACTTGCTGCGGAAAAATCAGATCCTCAGTGGGCAAGCGGCAAGCATGCAGCTTCTTCTTGGAACCGGCTCCAAAGTGCACCCCGACAGCACCCCGATATCCTAAGACGATAGCTGCTGACTCGGACAGACAGAATGGGAAAAACACCGTTACATAAAAAAAAAAAAAAAAACAAAACATGACCAATGCCAATGCTAAGAGTTGACTAAATGCGGAACCTTATTCAACACCGCGGGGAACCTTCAGCATCATTTCCACCGTGATTCCTTCGGTGCGAACCCCGGTCCATCACTTCTCCTACTTGCAGTTCTCCTGGCTATGATACGAAGGGCCAAAATCTTCATCCCGAAGAATCGAAAACTTTTCCAAGGCCATGGCTACGCCACAACCGCTGCCAGCTTTGTGGAAACGGACGAACGAAACTTCGAGCCCTGACCCAACCCTTCACACGGAATCTTTAAGAACACATAGGCCGCGAGTCTATGTCCTGCTCGTTGTGGAGGAGCTCGAAGCAAGCTCCGCCTTCGCAAAATTCAGTGATGATCCTGCAGTCCAAATGCCATGTGCAGTTGGAATGCAGAACTCCGTTCAGCTTTCGGCATTTATCAGCCCGAACCCGAACCGCAAACGAGCAACTGTGTCTGCACACACTCCGTCCCCGAAATGAATGTCATGTTTCAGGAGGTCCCTGAAGATATCCCCGGAAAGAGCAGCTTTTGGTTTAAACGTTGGAGCAATATGCATCCGAATGCATTGAAGCCGTGAGGTTTCACGGACAGCTATCCCCCTTTCACCGTTCTTAAGGCGGGCGGGTTGGGAAAACAAGACAGTTGGCTGGGCACCAGGCTGCTGGACAAGGGTGCAACGAAACGCGCGAACTATACAGCGAGACATGCGCGCGAGATAGAGAGGACCGCAGTCACATGTAGTAACGGCGCAACCTCTAGAGGTTCGGACTCGCGTAACACAAGCGGCCCTTTTGTCAAACCTAATGCATAGAAGCCTCCCTGCTATGTACCAGCCGCTTACACTACGTCCCTTGCACCTCCGTGGCTGGTATGACCGGCGCAGCTCATGCAAGGGCACACGTCGCAAAACATGACTTTCTGTCAAAGACGCTTGGGTCCAACAGACACGAAGTCTCTCCATGGCTCAAAAACATCCGTTACGCTGATCGCCGCTCTATTCTGGTTCGGGAAAGCAGATTCGATGGCGTGGTCCACAGCCTGCAAAGGGCACTTCTTAAGGCTCAGACAGTCGACGTGCGAGAGCGAGAGGTTGCATTCCATCCGCAGACAAACAAAGCAAAGTGTGGTCAGCGCACAGAACATCGGTGGTTTGCTTGCTGGCCAAGCCCTTGGAAACCGATGCCCATGTTGTCGCTGTATTGTCGCAGCACCGCCCGTGCGATCATACGTGCGAGTTGAGCCACCAGCTCCAGCGATCCAATGCCAGCCTGCATACGTTGGGGCCACATCCAGTCCTCAGGAATATCTTCCTTCTGTGAGTCTCACATGAAACCAAGGTTGCGTACCAGACGCAGCCCGCAAGAGAGCCATCAGCCCACGCATCAGCAAAGCTATTGAGGATCTTTCTAGAATCTGCCCATCTAGACGAATTCTGACTGAAGAGGTGCTTGAAAATTTGTTGCTGGACAAGCAAGTCGCCTCAGATTTGCAGTTGCATGCCGGGCGGAGCAGCACACCCAACACTTTCCACTTTTGAATTTCGGCTGCCTTGGCCGGCATCCAAGCTGTCCCCTCTCACAGACCGGCCTCCAACTTCACGCAGCTTCACGCAGCACCCAGCCAGCCTGCACGTCCCAGCCCCGAGCCGACTGACACATATGCAGAGGGGTCCGGTGAAGGGAAGTCCGGCGAACTCCGCTAATTGATGCGGATGTGAGTCAGTCGGACGGTGAAGCGTGGTGAATAGCAGAGCCAGACAAGCACACAGTGGCAGCCGAATCTGTGTAGCCCACCAGTTCAAAGCGTTCGAGGCAACCAAAATGTGCATCTTTTTGCATTCCAACACTTGTGCTTTGAAGACAGTCCACACTTGGTGCCCGGCCCAAAAGTTCCAATGTCAAACCCAGACGCACCTTTCTCCGAGACTGTGGCATCTTGAGAACCTGCGCGAGAGCGATTAAGATCGCTACCATGAACGACATGGAAAATCCGCATCAGGAGAACACGCAACGCAACCGGATCCACCAACACGCGGACCACTTCGCTCCGAAATGGTTCACCAGGTATACGAGCATCCGAAGAACTGATTCATAATGTGGAACACTGCAAAGCCCGTATCTTCCGGCGCAGTACGCACTGATTCGTGGGCGCTTTCGACATCCATGCTTTAGCCCTGGGCTCGGCAGAATCGCGCACCGCCGACCCATGCAACGTCCACTTTCCGAAATCGCTTTGAAGAAGGCGACCTTGGCCGAGACCTCGGGGCGATGTGTCAATACCTTCTTGCAACTAACAAATGCCAACCACACTCGCCAGAGGGAAATATGTCGGCGCAGAAGAGCCGCCGCCTTAACGTTCCTCAGTACTTGTCGCAGGGTAGGAACTGACTCGTCACCAAGCGATTCGAAAGGGGGCGAAACACGCAGATGCGGCTTCGAACTGGTCATCCACACTGAGGCCCACTTGTCCCATTCCTGATCTTCTTGTTCACGCGCAGACAATGAAAGGCCAATTGCGCCCGCAGGAAACACTCTTTTGGCACACGCGCTGGAGCTGTCGCAGAAGGCAGCTTCGGAGCAAGAGTTTCCAGATCCAACACCAGCCGATCAGCGTGACGGGTTTCTCAATCGCACTCATTTCCAAGGCACCAAGCTCAGCGGCGACACAATATCGGAAAGCCTCGCTTCGCGCGGGAATTGCAGCTCCCGGGGCTTAACCAAGGCAGGCGGGGCCAGCGGCATCCCATAATGCAGACTGGAAAACAAGACAACTGGCTGCAATTGGCTGCACAAGCTGTCGATTAGCAGCCCAACTCGAACCACACAAACAGATCTGCTGGACAGCTGCGCACGGAAACACACAAATTATGCAGTTAGAATTTTTCGCGAGATAGAGAGGGCCGCAGTCCCAGTGTAGCAAGCGCACCACTTCGTGTAAAAGTTTTAAGAGAGCTGCTGACACCTGGGCACACAGCAAACGCTCACGTGGCTCCTCAAAGGAGGAGTATCAATGCAGACGCCGTAGAGTCGCACCAGGTTTTCGTGCTGCACTCTAGTGAGGACCTCTGCAGAAAGAGACTGCAGCATCTGACGGAATGCGACGTAGTGCAAACGCAATGCTGTAGTACAGGCTCAGCGCAACCTCGGAAGCCTTTTGATTCTGAACGACTAGCATGGGGTCTCTGAGGAAGGCATCTCAAGTGACGGATGTGACGGCTTCCTCAACATCCTGATCCTTTCGGGGCATGCCTTCATCTCCCTTGCAAACGCGAGCTGCTCATCTGGCCGGATAGCCTGAAGCTCGAAACGAGTTCAGAGTCCGCTGGTCTTGCTGTGCACAGTCCTGCTCCGGGCATGATCAAGTTGCAAGTCTCGGGTGCGCAATCGCAGCGAAGCTACCGTCTTCTCGGTGATCTGCTTGATCGCCACTGCCTTGACCGCTGCGATGGAGACTGCTGGTGGCGACTTGGACACTGCACTGTAAGAAAGAAACAAGAAGCTCCTGGTCCAATGCCTAGCTGGCCTTCTGTCCGAGGAGCCGTGTCTATCCGTGTCCAGAAGCCTGCCATGGCAAAGCTCTCGACTTAGAACCGCACCAGACGTAGAGATTGGAATTCTGCGTGCTGGACAGGACTTAGGCTCCGGATGCTGCTATGTCTGCCATCTGCTGCTTTCACTCTCTGCAGCGAGAATAGCGACGGCAAGATGAGGAAGGGGAGGCCTTAAAGGCAAGCTACCAAACTAGCGAGATTCCGGTGCCTTTGAACACCTCTGAGGTGCAGCCGGAGCCGATGCACTTCTCCGTCCTTAGCTGCGGCTTGTCGAGGACCTAGGACATAGATCGCATCGCGAAGTGCCGCCCGCAAACATCCGGCTTACTACCAAGGCATGGGAAGGGCAAAGCCAACCGAGCAGCATTAGCTCGCAGCTTGGTATTTCGAAATCCGCAATCTCTGCAAGACCTGGGGCGATAGGACCCTATACATAGCACCGACATGGGTGCTTCTCCTAACCGCTTTTCTGCCCCGTGTCTTTGGAGTCAAGTTCTGGGGCCTTGCAGCAAGAGTGATCATGCCAGTTGTAGCAAAGATTCATCCGCCGAGCAAGACGCAGGGCAGCAAACGGGACAGAGAACGGAGAGTCATCGAAAGAGTGCACTGCATTGCACGTCAGCATGCAGACTACTCAAGTCAAGTTGACATCTCCCACATGCATCCACATGCATAGGAGAAGGTGGAAAAGGAAGAGAAGGAGACACACTTCGCAATCGGAGCGAACGAAAGGAGGAGGACAAGCATCAGCTGCAAAGGCGCACACGTTGGGATGTGTCTCGTAGCCAGACACACTGGGTAGCAACCGCGTAACTAAAGCGTGCGAATAGACCGAGCGCCGAGCTCATGCTTGCCAGGGCCTGTGGAGGGCCGGACAAACGCACTGTTGGCTCTCCCTGAGCCTCTCCCTGAGCCGAAATTGGCAGATGCGGGAAAATGCAGGTTGCGTTCTCTCGAAACCGAACATGCCAGTGCCTGCTCGATGCTTAAGCCTCAACCAATCCTCTACACCCCGATACCTTCACCCTCCTGAGGGCGAAAGTAACCGACCGCCGATTTCTCAGGAGCCCGGCGAGGTTGCTGGCATCCGAGGAGGCATTGGCGATGACAAGGGCCGCCGCCCGGCGGATGTCAACATTCTCCATGGAGTTGCATATCCTGGGCTACGGCGGCTTCGGGTTTGGGTTCGCATCCCAGCTGCAACAAAGCCTGCGGCTTTCATGCCGGAACATGTGTGCCGCTGGGGATCAGAAACATGAGGTCGATGACGTCAGTGGCCTCGAAAGTGTTCAGACTACGGCAGGCTGAGGGTGATGCCTTATCGAGACCGAAAATAGTTCGAGGGTTACGGTCGACGTTGGGGGCCTGCGCATGGACCTGCATCGCTCGGAATGGGATGCAACATCATCGAAGCCCACAGCACAGCAACTCATCTAGGCCTAGAACCACGCAGCTGAAGAGTGGTCTGACGGCCGATCCAACCCCATTGAGGCAGGTCTAACCATGCGGACATTATGAAAAAAAGCAATGACCTTCCTCGTCACTAACTGGGCTTTGCTTGGACATTGAGCGCATGCCGATGCATGCCGGATCACCGTTGGAGTGGTAGGGTGTGTCGCGCAGACCTGAGTATCGAGCGGGCACGGACGGAACAGGAGGGGCAATCCCTAGAACTAGCTGCGTCAAAGGACATGCGGAATACTACGTCTTGAACTCTCCAGCTCATGCAAGCTTAGTGACGACGGTTCAGGGCTTCGTATGTCGCATCAGTCAGCCTGACTTTATTGCCAAACCCTGAGCTAATCGCAAAGTAGAACTCTCTCACTGTCGTGGGATCGACCTGAAACTGCGGAGCCAAAATCGATCGCGAGCATCAAAGAAGTTTTGCGGGGAGGCCCATCCCCACGAATACACAAGACCGAGTCAGCCTTAATCAGTCAGGCTTTACCAAGTTTTCGATTAACCAAGCAGAGCAGCCGCAGCCATCATCTGGAGAGCATTGGCACGCCTCGGATACAAGCCACAACTGCTGCAGATGCAGACTGAAGTGACGCGTCCAGTCCCGAAGCCCTCAACCCAATTAGAAAAGTCTGCCTTTCAAACAAGAGCAAAGGAGAGCCTGACCTATCAGCAAAGACGGAGTCAGCACTCGAAAAGTTTCAGACCTGTCGCTTCCGAAGTTCCCTGAAGCCATCTCGGTGAAAGCGGCATGGCGATGCTCAGCCGTTCTGTCATCGCTATCGGGCAAACGTTGGCCATCGCCTGACGGGCACGGAGCCACCGAAGCTCGGTTCTGCCATGGGCAACGCCTCTCGGAAGTTACGTGAGCTTTGAGGTTAAGGCTCAGCATTCCACTGTGTCTGAGACTTACCCGAGCTGTACAGCTCAAAAGGCTTTCAGGAGCACTCAGATCTACAAAGACACGTCGACATCTGCTGCAGAGTTCTGCAACAAGCAAGCTGCAACGTCGAAGCGACTGTAAGACAAACACGGAGCAGCTTTTCGACAGATGCACACAGTTTCACCACTGTCGTATTGCAGTCATGTAGCTCCGGTAGTCAGGATCACATGGTGGTACTTCGGCGACAGGCTCAGCAGCATCAATGCCCGGATCACGTGCCTCAAGTCACACTTCGAGTCTTGGCAGAGCGGCCCATCGCAGGCACCGAAGACGGAGTAACACGGAACTCAGGTATGCGTCAGAGATGGATCAGACTGAGCAAGCCCCTGCGCACAAGACCTCCCACACCTCCCACAGTGCCCGCTGATTGACGTCCTATTGTCGGAGGCTGTGCTCGCCAAGCTGCGTTTGTACCTGCAGCGGTTTTCAGGAAGGCTTGGTGACTCAAGCGGCTGTCGCGTTAAGGTCACTTGGGAAGCTGAGGCACGCAGTCACCGCCAACTCAGAACTACCAAGGCGAAGTCTCCGATAAGAGCCGATCAGCAAAACCGTCTCTGAATCTCAAAGATGTTTGTCAGCATGTTCCATGGAGAAGCATCACATGCCCCCGTTGGGAGCACCTGCCAGTACCAATGGCAGCCAGTAAGACTCGTTGAAGCAATTCGACAATTGGTGCAACAAAACCACACACACCTTCTTGTTTTGGAAACCTACCGGACCTAGCCAAATATCTCAGGTCTTGGACTGTCCGAACCTGGGGCTCCGGCATTTGTATTGTCATTGTGGATATGCTCCGTGAGGACTTCGAAAAGGGGTGATTCAACCTTATGACTTATGAGACAGCTGGATTATGCCCTGGCTTCTCAGGCCACACCGCCTGTCCATTGCCACTCATGTTGCATTGCGAAGGCTTGATCATTGCAAAGCCGCTTGTAACAAAGGGAGACCCGCCCTGAGCACAGACGAGCGGCTATGCGGTCATGAAGATCTACACTTTCGCAAATGTTGGCGATAATCGCTACGCCGATGGGAACCTCGGCAGCAGCTGTGCTTTCCAGGTAGGAGCAAAACGATTCAAGGAAATGGTGGTATACGGAAGTACTGCTATCAGGTGCCGCAAACTGCCACTACACGATACACCAGATAGTACGAATCACTGGAAAACGTCGATAACATCATGTCAACCGTCTGCGTCATCATCGCTCAGCCTCCCCACGTTCATACTCGCTGTTATCAACAGGATCCCAACCTTCGGTACCAATGCCAATGCTCTCCCGCTACAACTCTATGACTACAGCCAGCACTCATCTTCGAGGCGATGACGGACAGCGAGTTTGCGGGCGAGCGCATCGGCGGGACCGCCAGATTTACATGCACAAGGGGCGCATCATCAGCAT